ATATTAAAAGCAAGTCAGAATAAATTGGGTTGAAGCTGTTACAATGAATTTCTGAATTAGCAAGTTTGGTGGTTCAGTTAATGAGTAATCAGTACATGATTTAGTCAGTTTGTTTGTTACTGTCCAACAATTAGAAAGTTCAGTGATGTGAATAATGAGCATGTGTTTCGACGAAGAAACTGACATACAAAATTAGACAAGAAAGCGAAACTTATGTTTAGGTTTTATTTAGTTGTAAAGTTAGGCCTATCGGTGAACATTGGTTACGCTAATCATTGAACTTGAAGAGATAACACATTATGGTTAAGTAGACTGGACTTTGCATTATTCTCATATTATTTTTGCCCCCAGTGTCTCAGCGGTAAGTCTGATGGCTTATAACGCTTCAAACCGGATTTTTATACATGTTGTGGGCACAGCACAGATAATCCATTGTGTACCTTCTTTTTCTTTTCTTACCAAATATTCCATTACGACACTGATATCAGGAGTGGGGTCATTTGGGAAAAAATAAAATAGAATACAACTAAACTTCAAGATGACGACACGAGCTCGAAAAGAGATTGAATATTTACTGGTAAAAATGAACAGTGTAAAAAAGATCAACAAGAAAAAAATAACAAAAATCGAATAATATCAAGAAGAAAGGGACAGAAAATTAAAAGAAAAAGGCTAGAATTTAACTATGTAATATGAGAATCAATCTGGTCTACACTACTGTTGTGTTACCTATGAGAGCAGGACTTTTCTGGACTAGTACAATTACACCACTATATGATCAAGATAAAGAGTATTGCAGGCAAGTTCAACAACATTGTCCAATCGAAAAAACAACATATTATGATTGAGATAGCCATAAAAGGCATATTAAGTGCAATTTCCATGGTTGGAAAAGACAAAAGGCAAGGCTATTCATCTTGCTATTCATTTAAAAGGATCAGCTTTAACAAAATTAAGTAATATTCCAACTAAAAGCTGTAATAACTGTCAGGCATTAGTGTCCATCCTCTCCCTTATCAAATAGATTTGGAGTGTTACACCAGAAGAAAGTTTTTAACGCAAAATTTAAGAGCAGAGTAATTAAGAAGGACGAGAACTCGGCCGAAAGTACTAAAGATGTGGAAAGAGGTATGGAATAATACAAGTAATTGAAATTTATGTTAAACTTAGTTTATTTATGAAGTTAGGCTTATTGGTGAATGATGGTTTGTAATTATTGTTTGAATAATAATAATAAGGAATATGCCGTTCCAGTTTCCATTAATGATGTAGAATAATTATTGTTTATTTTAGAACTTCATGAACTATGTAACAGAGTTTCTATGCTTCTTTATATATAGGAATATATATATAATGTTTTCTCTAGAAATGTCCTGTGGTACATCAGCAGTAATTTTACAGACTCAAAATGCTAAAATCCAAGATTTGATTCCCGCAGTGAACAGAATGCAGATAGTAAATTCTGTAGTTTTGCACTGAGAAAAAGAACACCAATAATCTCTAAAAAAGGGGGATCCAAGTTTTCTGGACCCTTTTCTGTTATCCGACCTTGTTAAGTTTTGTTTTGTATTGATTATTGTCACCTATCTAAGTATTTGTTTTGGTCCTTGGTGTCTGTTACTGTATGACTTATACCATAGACATAAAATGGTATTAGATACAGGCATACTAGCAGCGATCCGTAAAATATCTTCAGTAGTTATGGTGTCCTTTGCTTGAATTTTCCTTTTTCTAACGTTTTCACGAACGCCATTTAAACTACGCTTTCTTGCAAATATTATGTGTTAGATCGATAAATTATGATCTATTTGAAAAAAAAGAAAAAGAAATTTACGTGGTCAGTGTAATGTTGATTTTTTAAAGAAATTACACGCGGGTTAAGTGTTTGTGTGAAATACTTTGCAAATACAAAACTAAAGTTGAAATCGAAGCTAGTCATCACGTGATGACAAGGACATTGTGCCACCGTGTATCATATTTGTTGCATTAAAAAGTCTGACTAAGCAAAGAACAGGCAAGATTATTCTGAATGGAAAAGCCAATACTGTAATCTGGATTTCTCGGACAAAGGCCTTCCTAACGACATGAGATTTATAGCGTTTGATCTAGAAATTTGTGAGAAAAGTTCCAGACAGACAAACGCAATTGTGTTATGTATATCGATATAGTTTTGCACATAAACTGATGCATCTTAAATGTCAATAAATGAAGATAAAATAAGAATTCACAATATTATACCTTTATCTTTTATTTAATAACGAAAAAGGGTTATAATGTACTGATTTGAGATTTTATTGTTCGTCGTTTGATATTAACATTTAACCTGGTTACTTCTGCGTCTATTATACGTTAGTGTGATGACGCTCCAAATACCCCTTGTCTTTAAGTAACAAAAAATTACATTCTTATGTAGCTAATGGCGATCAGTGCTTTACTTGTATCTTCTGGAAGATCCAGCTCAAATAATATTTTTTTTTATAAAACTGACTAAAAGATAATTATTGATGATGTTTTTCAATAAAGTGTTAAGACACCATGAATGCAGAATATAATTTACTTTTATACATAAAAATTACGTCAAATATAAAAACAATACATTATATTCTCTATGTAGGTGCTCAGATGCTTGAAGTACACGACAACCAATAAAAGAGGCGGAAAAATCGACATAAGTTATTCGTAATATCAGTATACATAGTAACCATATCAACAAGCGATAAAATACACGCACTGTGAAACTAACTTTAGCTACTGATGTGGTTTTCGTTCTCGTATGAGATCATTCTACCCAATGAAAAGAAAGGAACGACTGACGACACAGTTTCTAAATATAATCTTCGCTAGAGAACTTCTGTAATAGTGTTATAGTAACGATAGATTATTTCTGATGTAATGAAAGTGAATAGTATAGTTTGATTCTGTTGAAATGAGAGCGACAATACATTAAACTTATCTTGCACTTTGGCCTAATGCTAATATTATGAGAAGAATATAAGAACAGTATTCAGTTATGAATAACCTAGTTTGTTTTATGATTTGTTTTTTGCGCTGCACAAGGAATTGGTAATCATTTTTCAAATTTCCGGAGGTGTCGCTAAGTGCATAAAAGATTCGCGGCTCGGGCCCATAGGTGCGGGAATTTTCGGCGTTTCAGTATGATATCGATCATGGTTTTCTATTCTGATATTTTAAGACACCAATTGGGGATTAATGACACTGTTAAATAAAATCGGGGGGAAGTGCCCTGTGTACTGGTGCCCGGTGACGCTACTGCAAATTCCTAATCATAGTTACTTGGTAAAATGATATTGGATTATTTGGTAAAAAAATTTACATAGTGTATATATGTATATTAAATAATTTGTATTGTTGACCTAGACTAGAGTGAGGAATTAGGCTCAACCTACATGTTATAAGTTTGTAGAATCCTATGAGGTAGTACTGGGATTCTACTTGAAAATATATAAATAGTCGAAAGTGTACCCAAATAAAAATCCAGCACAATCTGTAATCATTATTTATTTCAAGACCTTCAGTTAATGAGGTGGATATCATAATTACTTGAGTTAGTCGAGCTGTCCATGTATTCAGATAAACCTTGCAAAAATATCACTAAAACCTTTTAACTGCAAACTTAAAATTTTACTCTTACATTATTATGAGCTATTTACGCAAATCTAATGAGCTTTGAAAATCTTATCAACAGAAATCAGACCTTAAACTTGAAATTATGTTACCGCTTGTAGAAAAGTCTTACTTTAAGAAAATGAAGAAGTGTCATCAGTTAATATAGACCAGAACTTCTGTCTAACATGCCTTTCGGTAAGTTATGTACACACCAATGTGCCATTATGCCAGCTTGTGCTGTTTCTTATGCAGTTTTCCAAACTGTTTTCATTTTCTTTCCTTTGTGTTTTACACACTTGATTATGTATTTCTTGCAGTGTTTTACAATATTCAATATAGATATCTACGTTTTGTACAGTTAGTAAAAACTGCATATTCTATTAGCATGCATTTTTTAAAGATTGCATATCTCGTACGATATTTATGTATAGCTTCCCAGTGGCGAAAAGTCTGAGGACTTGTAACGTCTGCTTTCGATACTGTCAGTGGGAAGAGATAACCCACTGTGTAGCTTTGTGCATAACAATAACCAAATATTCATGTATCAGTTTCAAATAAAGTTCCACCTACCGTTTCTTTAATTTGATGACTAAAAACATATCCCTGATCGTTAAGTTATTACTAATGTCTGAACAATTCAGCTGATTTATCCTGCTATCCTGATTGTATGTAACTTGCTAAGTTTAACATTCGGTACTTCGATTCGTTTACCGAGTGTCTCGAACTTATTAACTTAAGGTAAAAAAAATGTCAGTTCTATATCATATCTTCTTTTTTATAACGCATCCACAGGCACAGTTAAAGACTCATAAAAGTACTGTTCAAATTTCAATGTAACAGTGGGTTTTTATTTGGTGCTGAGTTGTGTGTGTTTCCAATTCGATCATTTGGTATTGTTACCAGTTATTCTAATCTATTATATTCAAGTAACGAAATTATAAAACTTATACAGCATCATTATAATATATGCAACATTTATTAGCAACATTGTTTGGTTCTTTGGCTTTCGGGTAAAGCTATAGAAAGTGCTATCTTCACTGTACCTGCCGCGGGAATTGAACTACAAATTTTAGTGTTATAATTAACATTATACATGTAATTTTTTCTAATTATTTTATATTTGAGTTTACTGTCACTTACTTTCGTACATTTTATAAGCGAAATTTATCTTCATGTTCGTAAGCTATACATGTTTTGCTTATTTCGTCACTCTTTTTTAAGACTTTTCAAGCTCGATTTCACAAGTCTTTTTGTGCTATGACACAACATTTTTATCTAGCTCACGTTGCACAAATACACAGGAAGTTCGTCTGCCAGGAGAGGGCGCTACGCTCATCTCAACCGAAAAAAATATATATACTTAACGAGTTGAATACATGTGGGATCTCAGTTCGTAGTAAATCTCTTAGTGTGATGGTTACGCATTTTGGCATTAGACAAATTATTACTAGTTTTACTAAATACTCTGTCCTGCTGTGTGTGTTTGTTTTTTAAGTTTATTATCAAAGATAAACTCTAGATATAGAAAACAGTATAAATTTATTGGATAAACGTATTATTTTATTTGAAAAGCAGAACATAACGCGAAAGACAACAAGTACTTTGTAAAGTCTTCATTTTCAGTTTTATATAATTTTCAGCTCTCAGCTCTGATATCTATCGCGATTCGGTAGAATAAAAAACAACGACCCGAAGGAACGTCAAGAGGCAACAGCCAAGGTGCCAACTTTCCACGGCAAAGACTCGGAGACCGATGGCAACGAACAGCACTATAACCGGGCTTCTAGCCCGCCTTGTTCTAGCCACTTTTCTCACGTTTCTTTCGACTCCGAACCTTTCCAAGGGTCTCATTCACGGTGGTGAGTTACACAGACGTCCTTGTTCTTGGAACTCTCGTACTCTATTTTTAATATATAATATGAATTAACTCCCAAATTATTTATGATAAGTGCTACAGTTCTTGCTAAAGTAATGACTAATGATATTTTAGATAAAAGCACGAAAACAGAATTTTTTTTAATACAAGTGTTAAGTTTGTTTGTTTGTAATTAAGCACAAAGTTACACAATGGGTTATCTGTGTTCTGCCCACCACGGGTATCGAAACCCGGATTCTAGCGTTGTAAGTCCGCAGACATACCGCTGTGCCACTGGGGGGCACAAGTGTTAAGACCAGGTTAAAAAAAACAGACATCCCGTTAAGAGCTTGAATATAAGGTGAATTTATATATTTGATCTACAAAATGTAATACTGTCGATTTGATAATTTTCTCTCAGATCCAATATGTCTTATACACATGATCCAAATGGCTGCATTTTGCATACTTCCAGATTTGTGTGTGTGTGTTTGTGTATGATGTTAAAACGATCTAACCACACACTTATTCAGTAACAGCATACAAGCGTCAGGCTTTTAAGAAAATAAATATGAAACTTTAGGCATTGTTGCATTAACGGTTCTTCATTAAACACAAGGGTGGCATTCTTTGACGTGTCACTTGGAGAAATAATACTTATTATTTATCTAACCCCACGGGCTTTTGAGTCTCCAAACACGCAGTACTTCCTCTTCTGATACCTACTTCTCATAAAAAAAAGTTATACATTGTCCCGAATTTAGCGAGAAAATGTGGGCGGTATTTATTTATTTACACAAAGATTGTGAAGTTATTCTAGAGTCATTAGCGGGTAGTGCTGATAAGTACCACTAGGCGGTATGCAATGTTCTGTCTCATTATGTGTTTTTATTCAAGAATCTAGCCTGCAGATTGTTTGCAACACATGGTACGGATAACAAGTTCACGAGTATTTATCATACAGTTATATTTATGCCAACGCCAAGAAGTGTTGGGCTAAAAAACAATATTACTACTTAATTTTTATGTTTTATTGAAGCCAATAAACGTATATATTCTGTGATTAAACCGGAAACTGGTCAACACCTATTCCACAATCAAGTTGTTTGCTTATCACACCTTTAAAATAATACTGCATTATTACTTCTGACTTTCAGTAACACATACACATGCAGATTTTAAATCTAGTTTCTTTGTTTTGAATACATGCGCAAAGCTTCGCGAGGACTATCTGTGCTAGCCGTCCCTAATTTCGAACTGATAGATTAGAGGGTAGGCAGCTAGTCAACAGCACCGACAATCAACTCTTAGGCTACTATAATCGAATAGTGAGATTTCACTGTTGCTCTCATAATAGAGCGCAATTTTGCAGCAACGGAACGCTAACCATGGACCTTTGGATTAACAGCCCGGCACTCTAACCTCTAGGTCACGCCCAGCCCGATTTTAATTCTACTTAAACTTTTTCTGCTTTCTTAACTTTTAACAAATAAGCCTTGATTTGAAACATGAACACACTTATAAAAATCATTACTTTTAACATAAAGATATTTTAACTGGTTTTTCTCCCTCTAGGCTTATACGCTTAGATTACGCCTCTCGTCATACTTTAACGAAATAGTTTACTGCTCTTATTTGCCAAGCTGTAATGTAACACAAATTGCTTCTGTTTTAGGGACTCTACCCTGTAAAAGGATCGTCAAGTCTTACATGTAATAAATTAGATGTTATCTTATTCTGTCGAAATTAATAAACACTGGGGACGTGTGTGACTATTACGTATTTCTCTAATTATGTTTGAAATAATTTGAACAGGTTTTGTGGAATGTTTTCCAGTTGTTATGTTTAAATTATAGATGACAGGTCATAGCCATAAGAAGTAACAAGGTTTATTAACTGAAAGACGTTTTTTTTTTAAAGGGTTTAAAAGATGAGGACTAAATTTAGCAAAATTGATTTCAACATTTACAGATCAAATAACTAAACTTAATAGAAACTGGTTATTTTAAGACCCAGGATCGGTTCAGTTTACTAGATATGGTATAAATATATTTTAACGTCCAAATATTAGTTTTCTTTCCTTGGTAGAAATTGATTTTCAAGTTATTGATCAGGTAACTAAACAGAGTAGAAATTGATTTAACTCCCCGATTAATTTATTAGATTAAGAAGAAACTGATTATTTTAATATCAAGGACAATGTACTACATTTAGTGCAAAATAATGTTAAAGTAATGTTTAGTTTACTAGATTTAACAGAAATTGATTTTAACACCCAAAAATCACTGTATTAGATTTAATTTACAGACCGACTAATGTGAAACTCAATATATTGAAACCAATAAAAAGAATGAAGCAAATGTTAAATGCCAAGGAAAAGAAATGCAAACCACTAGGCCCGTGCATTCTCCAACAGAGGGTTAATTAAATCTAATCAAAAACACCATAGGTGTGAAAAAAAAAGGTATTCAACTTTGGGCATGATGGTGGGTAAAATAAAATACGTGGCCTAATGAATGAGTATTTACTGTCAAATTCTTATCAATGCTATAAGCGTAGCTACCAGTTTGGCCGCCACTTTTGATTTCATTCCTTTAAGTCGCACACTGAATCATTTTTGGGCCGCACCTTTTTTCACACCTAAGGTGTTTTTGATTAGATATCATAACTTTTGTCAATACACACCAACAAACCACAGCAAGTAAGAAAGTGACACTCAATAATAACCAACATAGCTTTAGGATCTCAACCCTATTATTCGGAACAGACCTATACGTTACAGAACCAACCAGGTTCTTTAAAATATATGGTGGTAGTTCTTCCCCTCTAAAACAGTGTTAATAACTTCCTTTATACTAACGCCATGGAATCTAGATTATCAGTTTCTTGTCATCACCCCCATGCAATCGGTACAGCCGTATCAAACATCAGTATTTATGCTAATTGCTTAAGCTAATATCACGTGACCACTAGACGTTCTTTAATTAGGATAGTTTGTGTTGAAAAGTTGGCAATGAATAATCAACAATAACCCTCCACCCATATGGTTCTTTTGAAAACTTGAGCTAGAAACTACTAATCTAGTTTGCTTGGCCTAACCAATACTTATGTATCTACACATCCTTTCACCTTATAGTTTTGCTGATCTAAATCAGCCGTCTTTAATCCGCATGACAAAAAACTAAAAAAGGTCCACTTTTACTCTTAGCTGAATCTGTAGTAAAAATGTTAGGCCGATAGCTCACGTAACTTTTTTGTGTGGGCGTGTGCAAAAATTATCGCGGTTTTTGTTGAATAACTTTGCACATGTGTCTTATATTTACACCAATTGAGAGTTCTAATTGTAGGTTGTAAATATCTATCAGTGTACCAAATTTGAACAAAATCCATAAAAGTTAAGTTTGTTTTTCTATCAAATGAAGTTTCTGTATTTTTGGTGCGAAGAAAAAAAAAAGAAGAAACTCAATCAACATTGGAGATGTTTTATCCAAGATATTTATCAATGGATTACCTTAAAATTTGGTATGTGAAGTAAGAGTCCAGTAAAGCACTGAAAATATATGGTAGTTTGGATTACCACAGTCAGAGCTACAGAAGGTGAAAAATCGCTAAACTATCACTTCTGTTAATAACACACAGTTTGTCCTGCAAGGTTGTTGTTTCTGGCCGCAAGACACACCACCGTGTATCTTGATTTTTCACGAAAAAAGGTTAAAACCTTTTTTAAAAAATGATAAAATCAATTACATTTAATGAAAATAATGAAACTTAATAACGATATAAAAACAAATTGAAACTAGGAATATTACAATTGTGTTAATGTCTACAATTCGACCGTTGTCAAAATCAAATCAAATATAAAACTCGATTTAAAAAACTGTTTGAAGGCCTATTTGTCTCTACCCACTACAAAGATCGAACCCTGAATTTTACGCGCCTGCCTTTGGACCGGGGGGAAGCTCATTGAAATAAAAGCACGAAGTAACAAAATGGCCTATCTGGCTCTGCCCATCACAGAGATCGAAATCTTAATTGGAAGAAAATAAATGATCAATATAATATTTTAAAAAGAAAACTGCGTTCTTGAATCATGTGTATATTGAGTGGAAGGCTTTCTTTTTACGGAAACATAACACACAATCTCTACTGTTTTCGAGAATTAAGCAGATTTGTTCGTTGTCAGTTGATAATACAGTGTGTTAATAGCGCATAATAAAAATAATTTCACTCCAGAGAATGCCAGTCAAAGTATTTCTGTTAATTCACGTTGTCAGGTCTCAGAGGTAGGAACATTTGATTTTGATGTTTTGTCTTTTGTAGTGAGAGAGACAATATAATCTTTATATTCTACGTGGGACATCAAGGAAATGATCAGATTTGGAACAATAACAAAATTTTTACCTCCAATACTTACAAAGCACGAGTATGAAGTTGACCCAATTTTTCATCCGAACCACTCGGTTAGCTTCTACAATTGGAACACTATTAGTGAATCAAAGACTTATTAATTGAAATCCGTTTGCAGCAGTTACTAATTAACTAGCATTCCACACTCCACCCAATGAGGTTATTAAAGGAAGCATTCAGGTAGTATGTATAGGACACCACACCCGTTCATATGATGCACATCAATTGCGTTCTAGTCACACCACTACTGTGTACTACTTTTTCGATTTATTAAGGTTTTATTTTCTACGTTTCTATGACACACGACTACCGTTACAATGAACAATGACAACCAGTATAATATACTTACGATATATCAATCTCTTCTTTGTTGTGACGTTATACCTTCTGAACTGCAACCTTCCTGAAGTTGAATAATCTGTTTATAGGGTTTGTTTGATTGTTTGAATTTATGCACAAAACTACACAATGGGCTATCTGTGCTCTGCCCACCACGGGTATCGAAACCCGGTTTCTAGCGTTGTAAGTACGCAGACATATCGCTGTGCCACTGGGGGGCCTGTTTATAGGGAAGAATTGCCATTGAGTGACGCAAAT